AATTAAATACCATACTGTGGTATATTCTGGACAAACAAGAGGCAACAAGGAGATCCACCAGAAAAGTTCCACGTTGCAGATTGCATATTATGTCTGACAAAAATGATGCTTGTCTCTCTGTATCAATGACTTGAGTTTGTTCATTTAGTCGGTGTTGTAGTTCTATACAGATTTGCATACCATTATTGCGTCCTTTTAAACAGTTTAAAGGGTAACTGTGCAGTATGAAGTTGTCAAAAGAAATTATGCCACTTGTAAAGCACCTTTATAGGACTAATACAAACTCTTCACTCTTCAGTCTTGGGTCTCCTGAAGTACCTTTTACATAGTATTACATAATGCATATCATCAGCTCTGTTCTTCTTCTACGATCTTCTTTGGATAAAGCCCTGCACTCTGTAGCAGCATCTGACAAAAAGAAAAAAAACAACATTGTATTTGTTTGACTTATTGTTTATGATTTCAAGGAAGCTCCTCCAAATCTACAGTACATTTTAAAGTTATCTTTGAAGCTATATAGTCATGTCTGATGGAAAGGATAAGTACATGGTGTGTACTTATCAGACCACCAGCAGAGCGCTCAGAGCACAGAACCTCTTAAAACAAACAAAAGCAGATATATCCTATCAGAGCTGGAAGAGCGATGATATAGCCAAGGTCTCTTGCTCTTAAAGATATTTTCTGTTATGTCACATACTGTATATTAGACATAAGTCAGTAATATGTTTTTTTGGGCAATTTAGTATTCATGTTTGTGTTGCTTGATCCATGAGTACATTCTCTAGCAAAATGGTTGTCACAGTTGTCTCACAGCAAGAAGGTTGTTGCTGGGACCTTTCTGCGTGGAGTTACGGGTTTTCTGTTATCAACGTAAACATGCACAATATGTTCATTCTTTTGTTTATTAGAACATCTCAATCTAATAAAGGCTGTGCTGCGATTTTCCCAATTTTGAATGATATCTAAATCTCACGATACAATGTTGTCACGGTATGAATCTCACAGTATGATATTTATTGTGATATCGTGGGAAAGCTCACGATATAGTGTGAAGACTTGATTAGGGATGTAACAATATCCAAATCTCTTGGTACGATATTTTCACAATATACATCTCACTGTACGATATTTATTTTGATATTTTGTGGAGGCAGACAAAACTGTAAATATGTTACTTTCTCCATTTAAAATGCCTTGACAAGACTTAATCCAAAGAACTAAGACTTAAAAGTGCTTAGAACTGTTATTTCTTCTTGTATTACACTGAAATGGAGCAAAGGATTATGGTCTATGTAGTTCCCTCTGTCTTTTTTTAGCTATTGCTGCACTGTAACTCTTAATTTAAGCAAAGAGACTTGTAATTCAATGTATTGTGATCGTCCATGATATTATTGTGAGAACTTTGACGATACGATATCACGATATTTTGGTTATTGTTACATCCCTATTGAATGAACTATAGTGCTTTATAGGTCCTGTATTACACAAATGGACTCTCATGAGCTTCAACCCATGTTATAATGTTGCATCAAAAACATCACGAGCTGTCTTTTGTTTCACTCGCACATGTTTCATTAATCTTTTATTATATGTCTGTCTTCGTCTCCAAAGCTCAAAATGCACTCCACTCTTGTGATGTATGCGGTAGTTTTCAAGTTAACAGTTACCTTTTACTTTTAGTTCAGGAGAGATTGACAGTTTCAGGGTTGAAATCATCCAAATGATTCTAATGAAGGTGTAATGAAACAAAACACAACTGCAGGCATGTTTGTGATGAGGAAACATTATAACAGATCAGAAAATAGTGCAATGTGGGCCCTTTAAAGACAGTGAAAGTATTAGCCTCATCTGTATATTTGTGCAATCTTGATGACAAATCTCTAGATAACTTCACTTAGATTCTGCCCATTGTCTTAAAGACTGATGGATGCACCACACACTCCGACAGTGGTCACACAAATCCAGAGAAAAAACATTTTCCCATTAAGACTTGGAATAAACTGTTTATACTCAGGGGACAGACTCATCCATTAAACCCAAATGAAAAGATACAGAAGCCACATTTATCATGAAATAGACAGCTCAGTGTATATATCACCGCTTTAAAGAGTGAAGTGTCTGTATTTCACTATTTAACCCTTTAGACAATCCCTAAAGGTGTTGTATCATGGATTATTTCTGGTTTATTTTACTACTTTTCGACACTTAAAACATTTACTTAATTGTATTTGTGAATAGAAAATAGCTAAAAGTAACACTGCCACATAGCTTTTATCAATCTAGCAGTGTTTTTATTTGTTATATACTTTTAAACTTTCATTTAATTGTATTTATTTAATTTTTTTTTAGATGAGTCACTTTCCAATTAGTTAGGAGGGAAATTGTGAAATAGCATAAGGAAAAGTCTGGAAACGTTTTTTGATTTTTGGCAGGGTGTTAGGTAGTTTTTAGTAGGTTTTTAATAATCCAAGGATAGTTGGGGTGGCTCCTTAGTGGCTGGTATAAAATCCAAAATCCTGCCGGAAAGAGAAAAGGTTGTATTCCACCATCCGTTTGACTGAAATTGTTGTACTTGACTTGATAAACGGGATGTGATTTTAATACTTTATTCCTATTTTAAGGCCATTTTCATGCAAAATTTATTGTCATGGTCACTTTTTGCTTGAAAATTTTTCCATAATATACTGTATAAAGATCATTCAGGCCTCTCAACCCATATGTGAAATTAAATCAAGTCAAATAAGGTGCAGAAATTGTTTCATGGTTCTATGACATGCTCCAGAATGTGTTCAACCAGATTACCCAAGATTTCCCTTTGGATTCAGCTGGTTTTACTGCAATGTTGTAGAGTCCACTGCAAAATGTAACAGTCCTGGGTCACCAAATTTGCTGCAGTGGAGTACCAGGGTCACTAAATTGGAGGTGCGCCGGGTCTTGTATGGAGGAATTGGATTGCTTGTATCAAACAAAGCAGAAAAACTACATTATACAACAATTTAAGACTAAAGGAAGCAGAGATCTAACCTTTTTTTTTTTTTTCAACAGGGGCCATTTTGGATTTTATGTATACCAGCCGCTACGGGGCATCCCAACTTGTATCCATGGATTTTTGAAAACCCAAACCTAAACACCCTGCCAAAAATCCAAAAGTTTTCCAGAAGTGCATTATTTTCTTGAATTCCCCCTTGGCTAAATGTATTATCTACCTGCATTTTTGTCAATGATATTTTTGACAATGCATTTTATTTTGGCAACATGTTAATGGTTAAGGTTAGGGTACACTTTATTGTCCCCATAGGGAAATTTGTCCTCTGCATTTGACCTGGATTGTACCTGTGGTGTGTGGGAGACACTGGAGTGGCCAGAGGAAGCCCACCCAGACACGCGAGAACATGTAAACTCCTCACAGAAGCAGCGCTGTGAAATGTGAAAATCAGGCTGTTTAAAGCAGTTTAGACTTTGGAGGAATTCATTTGACTATTTTTGTGTCAGTCCATTTTGTTTATGTTCGTAAAATTAAGAGAACCATATGTATTTGTCTATAAAGAGAAAAAAATAAGTAAATAAATTTAAAAATGTGATCTATCAATATGAGGACAAACACTAAAATGTAAGCTGTGCTATTTTCATCTGTGAATTATAGGTCTACTGCTAACCTTGTATATTAACATTTGGCTCAGCCTTAATTTTCGTAACACAATCTCTCCTTTTCTCTGTAGCATTGATTTAATCTGCAGTGTTTAAATAAGTGGTGCTGATTTGAAGAGCCTGTGGTTTCATAACTGTTTGGAAATCTCCAGAGAAGTGTATCAAGTGGAAATCTAGAAAGTTCTGCCTTCTGGTTTTTACTAAATCAACTTCAACATTAAACTTGTAGTGAGGGTCCAAGTGTAGCGGAGGACCACACATGGGACATGTGTATGGGAAGTACAGGCTCTGCTCTCTCCCATGTGAATATGAACAAAGTACATAGACAGTGGGCAGAGTTGGCACAAGGAGAAGCCACAGACAGAACACTTGTATTTTGGTTTTTGGTTTCTCGTGAGGTTGCCCACAATGTTCACAGTAACTTCACAGGTGCTGCTTTGCTAAAGCAGTTTTGGGATTATATGGAATAAATAAGCATTAAACAACAAGGAGCTGTACACTTTAAGCTTCCTCCACAAAGCTTATACCATGAATACAAACTGAAATGCCTCATGTTTGAATCTGAAAAGGCTGATCTCTGTCTGTAAATGTTTCAAATAGGCCTATCATTTATTTCTGTTTTTAAACTGAAGCTAGTCCATACATTCTACACACAGCAGTTAAGCCTTTGTTTACCCATCGTATGCAATTGTCAGTGAGAATATACAAAGCCAGTGGTATACGACATCGATATCCAGATCAGATCTACCCTGACAGACTCATATCAAATAATACCACGATAATATTACTATATTATGTCATTTTATGACAATCTTTTAACAAATAATGCAATGTAAACGAGACAATAAAAGACAAGATGCTTGTTTGTATCTGTATATAAAACTATTTCAAGACAGTGCTCAAGAAGCAAGTTTTTTTTAACATTCAGAATTTTGTATTTCAAAAAACATCGCTCAGAGATTGCAGGTCTGACTACAGGTCGACCAATGTTTTTTTTTTTCCTTGGCCAATATCGATATTTTAGAATCTAGAGCAGCTCACGGTCTATGTGCCAGTGTGTAGGTCAGATTTCAGTAAAAGCCTAGCTTTGTGGTTTTATGTCTTTCCTTTAAGCAGTTTGTTGTTGCAGACAGAATATTGGTCTATGCTGAGGATTTAAGGGCAATAGCCGATATACAGTACCATGAAGTCTATCTCTTGTTCTGCACTTTCACTTTTTGTATTTTACCAATGCATAAATTGGGTGCAGCTTTACAATGTCTTAATTAATGGGACAGAAGCATATTTACAGTTATGGTTGATGAGAAGTGCCAGCTAATAGCTTCCCTTACTTCATGTGTCCTTGTCCTCAGGGCCGTGGGCAGTCCTCTCGTCATGGACCCCAACAGCATCTGCAGGAAGGCCAAGCGTCTGGCAGGGAAGCAGGCCGAGCTGTGCCAAACGCAGCCGGAGATCGTGAGTGAAGTGGCCAAAGGGGCGCGCCTGGGGGTTCGCGAGTGCCAGTACCAGTTCAGGTACCGCCGATGGAACTGCACCAGCCACAACAAGTACTTTGGCAAAATCCTGCAGCAAGGTGAGAGCGAGGACAAGAAACACACTAAATTCTGCATCTCCAAAGCTCAAAATGCTCTGTTCCACCTTGTAATGTCATGTAGTGGTAGTTTTAAAGTTAACAGCTACTATTTGTATGTTAAACGTGTCCAGGTATGTTTGTAATAAGGTAATATCATAACATAGATCAGAAAATAGAATATATGGGCCATTTAAATGTAATCTTAAACAGAAGTGAAGAATATTCTTAGTAATATTGTTTGTTCTTATATTTGACTTGAAGTGACTATAATCAAACTATCAAGATGTTTATTGAGATATACATGCATTTTATATTATTGAGATATAACATACGCTAGAAATTGTTGTTAGATGAATAAAATAACTTTGCAGAAGGTGTCTTCAAATTCTAGATTGCTGTATTTTGGTATTGTATTGTATTATTGTAGTACTTTGACGGCATTATTTCCTGTTTTGAGGAAGGTTTTGAGTTATTCTGGTGTGACAGATGGTCAGAGTGAAGTATAAAACACTTGTGGGCCATTCCTACATAGAATATAAGCATAATGAAAGATCATGATTAGTCAATACACAATAAGCATATATATTTACTGTGGTGGCTCTAAGCAATGTGGCTGTTTAGACAACAAAATGCTAATTAGTTTCCTCAAGTTCTTCTCACAATAAAGCATGAACTGTCAGCCTCATTTTCAGATTAATGTCACTCAAGTTGGCACAAGATAAAAAAACACTGCAGACTTTTTTTTCAGTTCTTTGTTAATATCGTGTGTTTCTTTTAATTACATTCAAGAAAAAAGTAGTAGATATTACACTAACAAATTAACAACTCTAACTAATAAAAATCTATTTACTTACTTAAAGGTGCACTATGTAACTTTTTTTCTAACTGCTTGTTTCTATGGATATGTTATTGCTCTGCCTGGAATGTTCCACAGTATGACATTCAACAGCTCAGCTCTACTTTACATTTATTCAATTACAGGTTTTAAAGCTCAAAGATACCTAGAAAAACATGCATTCTGACTGTGAGTGGGGTCGCCTCTCCACAGATCTGACCTGTCTGGTTTGGTCTCCATAAAGATAGACAGGTTTAATACCATACTGTGAAACATTACAGACAAATCAATAATATCTCCATGGAGAAAAGCGTTAGATGAACCCTCCACCAGAAAAGTTACACAATGCATTATAAATCACACACATTTTTATTTCCACAAAAGTCCATTTATGTAACAGCAAATTTTACAAAGTTTGCCCCATCTCTTTTCCCTCGTTCTCTCTAAATGTTTCTTATGGATTTGAACCCACGACCTCATGACCCCTGTGCAGCAGCAGACAACACTAGCTCTTGTATCTTTCTCGGACACAGTTGAGTGAGTCTCCCTCCATCAGACTGGGCCTGCTTCATAAACTAAAATTGCCTTTTCACTTACAGCATCTCTTAGATCTCATAACATCTTGCTGAGGCCCTTTGAAGTGTCTAATATCGTAATGTGGGGTCATCCTTGGGCCCCTAAAATGACTGTTCCTTATCACTAGTATTATTTAAATTACAGAGCATGTTCCCACCTGTCCTACGTCTGGTTGTGCTAATAGTTTTAGCCTTTGTCACATGTCTTATGTTAATACCTTGTGGAGTTTTGGGATGTAGAAATAAGTTAGTATCATATTAGTTGTCTTAAAAGAGCCATAACTTTTCTGGTGGAGGGCCTTGTTTCCCTGGAGATGGCATCAGACTCATACCCACCTAGTGCCTCCGCTCAGTTTCATTTCTCTCCAGCAACTAGGTCAAGAATCAAAATACACTAGACGGTTCGCAAAAACCCCGGAAGTGCAAGTTCAGGCACTAGCCAATCAGCAAAGAGCCATATATTCTGTGTTGGCAACATTTCCCGAGATCAAGGATTTAACGCCAGAACAAAGAAAATGTTTGGTGAATTTTAACAAGGGGAGAGACGTTATTGTCCTTCTTCCTACGGGATTTGGGAAAAGCTTAATATACCAGTTAGCTCCGTTAGCGGCGCATTACATCCGTCACAACCAAATAGCAGTGACTGGTTAAATTTAAAAAGTACCTGCCTACCATCAAGCGAACAAATCCTAACCCTGCAAGGTCTGATGAATCAGGTAATCAGAGTCCATGAACACAATCAGGTGGCACAAACGGGACAAGTTACATGTCAGATTTGCGAAGAGCCGACCCCATTCACAGATAAAGAAACCTGTAGAAATTGTGTACATTCTATTTAGCAACTGAATGATAAATGATCAGTTTAATGTTTCAGTATTTTCTTTTTGCAGGCCATTGTATATGAGCTGAAACGTGCCTTGTTAGAGATACTAGCACAGCACAGAAAGTGATTTATGCACAAAGGAGTGTGAACATTCATGCCCATGAGTTATAATGAGATTTTATGTGAACAGTACATTTTATCCGTGGGTTTCAGAATAATGAGACACGAGCACTGCTGCTGAATCCAGAGCAACCAAAGGCCGATAAGCTTTGATAAGAAATTTTTGGGCTCATTTGTAGGTCCGATTTTGATTCTTTTCACTAAATTATGTCATTTTAATTTACAACAAACTCACCTACAGACTCTTTTTACTACAAAACTTCAAAAGAGTCATGTTTTGAGCAGTTATTTCTTCACATTCAAGTGTTCAAATGAAGCATCCAACATGTACATCTGTCTCCAAGTTGAAACCCATTAATACCTTTAACTGGTAGACTACTGGGCCTGATATGACTGCACATTACAACGCCTGTTAATATAATTTTGGATTGGTTAAGTTTGGATGCTCTCAGACTGAATGATTTAGTGCAAGGGTTACACACACATACACACACCTTCATACTGCTCTGACTCTACAGGACGCCTCTGCAGCCACCCCACCCACTTCAAAACATCCTCAGGCCAGATTCACCCTCTATTCAAACATCAACCCCAGAGCACTTAACCTCCTTTTGTTCCCCAAACCCTTGCAGAAACAAAGTAAAAACACATTATATAAACCCTTGACATTTGCAATGATAAGACGTGTTTAATTACTAACTGACACGTTGCATTTTTAAAGGTTCTACATTACGCAAAATTGACTCTCGAGAGCTGTAAGCCATGTTAAAATGTTGTTTCTTCATCAAAAACATATCCAGAGTTGTGTTTTGTTTCATTCACAGCCTTTATTATTAGTCTGTCTACATCTCCAATGCTCAAATGCTCTGTTCCACCTTGTGATGTCATGAAATTGTAGTTTTTAAGTAAACAGCTATCTTAAATCTTTTGTTCAGTAAAGATTGGCATTTCCAGGGCTGAAATGATACAAATTATTCAAGTGAAGGTGTATGGAGTTTAAAATCACAATGGAGCACTTCTTGTATTGCCACATGACATCACAAGGTGGAACAGAGTGTTTTCCGTTTGAGGGAAGGACTCAGCCTAAATATGCAGGCTGTGTGTTAGACTTGCAGAGGTGGAATCAAGTCATCGTTTTCCAAGTCTCAAGTAAGTCTCAAGTCTTTGACCACAAGTCCGAGTCAAGTCCCAAGTCAAATACAGGCAAGTCCAAGTTGAGTCTTAAGTCACTGGTACATACGTCCAAGTCAAGTCAAAGTCATGTGCTTTGAGCTTCAAGTCATTTCAAGTCTTTAAACCAAAGTACCAAATATAGCTTAGATTTTTGCAATTTATATGAATTTTAAACTTAATTTTACTTAATAAGTCATGGTATATTTATATATGAGTATTTACATAAGAGTTGTAGAAATGCACATTTTTCCTTTTTAAAAATCTTGACAAGATCTTAGTATGAATCATTACAAATAAAAAAAAATCAGATTTAAAAATGCTGTTATTTGTCTGCACTGAAATGGAACAATCATGTTCTCTGTAGTTCCCTCTGTTTTACTGTATTGTTTTGTGTTGTACTGTATATTACTGTAGTACATTTAAGGATACTGTATCACAGTACTTCAGTTACATTCAAAGTACCAAACAGAGAAGTAGGAGGGACATGCCCCAGTTTGTTACTGTAAAATTAAGCCCTGCATTTATCAACTGTAAAGAGAAAAGTATTTTCTAAAAACATATATTTTTAGGAGAAGAATCAAGTCTTCTCATGTCACAGGCCTCAAGTCTGAGTCAATTCCCAAGTCACTGACCTTTAAGTCCAAGTCGAGTCTCAAGTCTTAGTCCATTTTATCAAGTCAAGTCTCAAGTCCTGAAAAATAGTGACTCAAGTCTGACTCAAGTCTAAGTCATGACTTGCAAGTCCCCAGCTTTGTAAGCCTGTGTGAATGAAACAAAACATAACTCCAGATCTGTTTTTGATGAGGAAACAATATTATAACTGAACAAAAAATAGCGTAATATGGGCGTTTAAAGTTTTGGTGTCAGAATTTTGAATAAACAAAATGGAAGCTGTTTTTCTGAACTTGTTCTGCTTTGTTTGTACGTTAGAAAGCAGGTCAGATTTCCCTCCTCTTCTCATCATTGACAAGTATTAATATATTTTCCTTGATCTTTGCCATGTTTAAATACCACTTAGGGCCCTGGGGTGACTGTGTCGTAAGCAGCCAGTGAACAGTGATGCTGGTTATCACATGAGGGCTTTGGCGGCTTCCCTTTGAAAGACACTTGGCTTATATTTTATTCCAAAACAGAGATGAGAGCGCTGTGACCTATTCTATGCCCTTTTTGTACACATTGTCAAATAAAGTATGCATTTAATTTAATTAGCATTGGCAGGACTGGCTTGTACAACAGCTATTGCATCTAACGCAGTGAATCATGCATCTTTGTTCACTGTGGTTTGCATGAAAATTCTTCTGCATGCACGTCTTTGAACAGAGATAATAAACTGGGAAGAAATTATACATTTGAGTTGTACTGTCAGTTGTCATCAATAAATTAAAAGTGCAGTTTGTAACTTTTGAGGTATACGTAGGTACCTGTGCTCTTACTTTCACTGGAATTATTTAATGCTATATTGTGGAACATCCCA